TACTTCTATTGCTCAATTTTCAGAGCACCCTGATGAAGCAAAAGCAATTACTGAACATTCCTAAATAAGGTAAAGTGTTTTGCCTAAAAGTAGCCCTCGGAAAACAGAGTCACTTTACGTTTTAGTGTTTACAAGGAGTGCCCTATTGTAAAGATAATTTTAAACCACAAAGTAGTTTAAACAATTGTTCCAATGTTATGCAAACAGGAGCTAAGATATTCAGACATTTAGAATATTTCTATTTCACAGGTGAGGAACTTGGCACGTGGAAAGTTAAATAATTTGCCCAAGTAGCTAGTCCGTGTCACAGCCAGCAGCAAACCGGGCATGGAGTCTTATTCCACATCTTCATTAACCCTCCTGAGACGCTTTCTACAACTGTTAAAAAAAGTCTTCTTATTCTCTTCGTTTTTTTTGTTTCTGTTTTGAGTCTCACTCTGTCACCCTGGGTAGAGTGCCACGGTATGATTGTAGCTCACAGCAACCTCAAACTCTTGGGCTCAAGCCATCCTCTTTTTTCAGCTTCCCTTGTACCTGGGACTACAGGCATGTGCCACCACACCTGGCTAGTTTATTTTTTCCTTTCTATTTTTAGTAGTAACAGGGTCTTATTCTTGCCCTAACTCCTGAGCTCAAGTGGTCCACCTGCCTCAGCCTCCCAGACTGCGATGGTTACGGGTGTGAGCCACCATGCCCAGCTTTTAGAAAGGTTTTCAATCTAGGAAATCACTGTTCTTTTTATTCCTCCTTACTGAGGCACTGTTCTAAGAGAAGAGAAGGGCATTCTGGAACCGCAGCTTTATAGATGGTACAAGGAAGGTCTAGTTCCCTCTAAGCCAGAGCGGCCCAGGCCCCCTCTGCTTCACCCTGGCAGCCGGCGCTGCCTCCTTGGCCACGGACGGGCATTCACTGGTTCCTGGGCAAGTTCCTTGGCTGACGGCTCTGATTGGTAGGAGTTCTTTCCAGTGTCGGGTTTTATCTTCCATACCCTCTTTTCCTTTCTTCCGGTCCTCTCCCCTCCACTTCCCTATAAGCATTTTGTGTTAGAATAGTTCTAGACTTACAGAAAAGTTCCCATAGTACAGAGTTTCTGCGTATGCCCCATCTTTATTAGGTGTTAGAGTTGTATGTTACTGTGGTACATTTGTCAAAACTAAGAAGCCAACTTGGGCACTTTACTATAAACCATAAACTCCAGACTTTAGATTTCATGAATTCTTCCTAAAGTCTTCTTCTGTTTCGGGATCCCCTCCAGGACGCCACTCTTCCACTTAGCTATTTTTTCTTAGTGTCAACTGGGGGTCAGGCATTTTGGGGAACGTCCCTCAGTTGGGATTGCTGATGTCTTTGCCACGGTTAGAGGGCTTATGGGTTTGGGGGAAGAATGCTACAAAAGTGAAGTGCCATTCTCATCACGTCATATCAGGGAAGGTGACATCATCTTAGGGACGCCTGACATCAGTGATCCATCAGGGATTGTGTTAACCGTGACCCCTGAGCCAAGATAAAGTTACTCCTCCCTCCCCTTCTGTACACTGTGTTTTAGAAGCAAGTTATCACATGTGCCCCATATTTGTGGAGGGGGAGAATTAAGCTCCACCTCCTGAAGGGGAAATTAGATAAGTTATTTCAAATTCTGTAAGAAACATTTGTCCCTTCCCCTATATTGCTATTTATAATTCAATCACTCACTTATATCCGTGTGGACTGATGGATATTGACCATATACTTTATTTATAATCAAATGTCACTTTCCTTATTTTCTTGTTCAAGTCGTTCCAGCTTTTATCACTGGAAAGTCTTTCAGTGGCTTCTGTTTCCTTTGGGCCTATCTCTATGCTATTTATTATTATTATTATTATTTCCTAGATTTCTGGCACTATAAGATCTTCTAGGCTCACCTGTGTTTTCTCTTGCCCCATCTCTGGAATCAGCCACTTCTCCCAGCTTCCTCGGTTCCTTTCACTGGAGAATTATGTTAAGGACTGAGATCTGGCCCCTGGGTGTGTTTCTTGCTACTGTGGTGTGAGGCTGCTTCTAGAGCCTCTCACTGGACGGCTGGGAGATGCATGTGTGCACGGCGGCCCGGGTTACACACGTCTGCAATTCCATTATTTCTGGGCTTGTCCACTGTGTCTACAGTGAAGCTTTGGGGGTTTTTTTTGAGCAGTTATATTTTGTTGTAAGAGCGTGAACTGCTGCTTTCAACTATCAGTGGTAAGGAGGGCACAAAAAAGGAGAGAGGGGGAAAAAGTGCAAATAGGTACCTGGGCCTAATGTGACTTATTACTTCACCATCTTCTAGTCACGTGATGTCAGGTCAGCGATGAGGAGATGCCAAGAGGTTAAGGAACTCGTTAGAGGAACAGTCCGGACTAGAATCTGCTTTTCTAAGTGGAATGCCTTCGTTTCCACCGTATCCCACTCCTCTTTCGGACTGGTCTATATTCTTGATTTTCTATTCAGTGCATTTAATGGCTTCTTGAGATGCATTAAGCAGATTAGGACTGTGATTTTAGAAACTGGTCTGTACAGCAGAGGTCTGCTGATGATCAGTGAGGAGGGTTTCGCTCGATGAGAAGGAAGCCCTGGCGACCAGAAGCCAGTGAGCAAGTCTCTACAATGTCTAGAACGGCCACCCTACTCTGTTTTCTTTCTTATAACTATTTTTTAAAAAATCCTTGTGCTCTGGTGAGAACCAAGGGGCTCCTAGAGGACAGATGCTTTATGTAGACACCTGCTTTTCAGGAGTGAGATGTGAAACAATGAAGCAGTCTGCTTATTGTCATCCAGGGATGTGGTGATGAAGTAAACCCACAGCCCTTCGCAGCCCTCTCCAACAGGCCAACCACAGCACTCCTCTCTTCTAAATTGCTTTCGGCAGTTTGCAAAGCAAAGAAAGAACCGGTGAGGTTCCTTCGAGATGCCTCAGGCAGTAGGAAAGTCCCGGGGCGCCGTTAGGCCTTTGGCCCCTGCCCCTCAGAGGAGGGCCTGTGTTTGTATTTGTACATCATGTTTGGTCACCATGTAACAACAAATCTCCATTCTGTTCTCTCCAAAATTTTTACCTTATCCATTCCAAAGACTTAGCATTTTAATTCTGTGTATTATGTCATGAACATCCAAGATTTTTAGTAAAAATAAATGGCAACAGCTGCTTTTGTGTATGAACTGTAATTGTGAACCTTGACCTTGATATGACATATCCAAAGTTTTCCAGGTGTGGAAATGACTTGAAAGCTCCTTTTTGGTAATCATTCCAGGATAGAACAAGATTAAGCCCTTGGCTGTTAGCTCTCTCTTCAAAAAGAGAGGGGTTCCTATCGGTTTTCTTTATTCTGATATTCCCTTTTGAACATGGCTCCGATGTCAAATAGTGCATATTTACACATGTGCACACACACCCTGAGGCCCATCTTTCTTTCTTTCTTTCCTGCTTTGTTTTTTCCCACAGAACTTAACCACTATTTACTATACTGCAGTAGTCCCCCCTTATTTGTGGGGGGCACATTCCAAGACCTCCTATGGGTACCTGAAACTATAGATACCCCCAAACTCTATATATACAGTAGAACCTCCATGGTTGGCCACCTCCCCACACTGACCACCTCCTTCAGTTGACCTGCTTTCCGCACACTGGACATCCACCACATGTGTATATCAGCACAGTAAGCCTCGCTCCTGACGCTGACCGTCTCTGGATGTTGACCCATTCGTTAGTCTCTTGGGGGGTCACAGCAGCTGTACTGTACTATGTTTTTACCTACACATACCTGTAATCAAGTTTAATTCCTAAATTAGGCGCAGAAGAGATTAACAACACTAAATAATAAAATAGAACAGTTATAGTAACATACTAGAATAAAAGTTATAGGAATGTGTCTCTTCCTCTTATCACCTTATTTTATTTAATATTTTCAGACCATGGTTAACCACAGATAAAAGTGAGACCATGGAGAATCAAGCTGCAGATGTGGGAGGACCACTATTGATATTTTGCCACTTTATCCTTTTAATTATTTTCCCTAACTAGGATGTTTATGAGAGCAGACTTTGTTCACTGCCCGGTCCCTAGACCTATACCTGGAACACAGTAGGTGCTCATTTAATGCTTCTGAATGAGCAATGTAAGTTGCAAGTTGTGAGACTTTGGCCCCTGATTTCAATATAAATACAAAGAATGGAGTTTTATCTTTAGGGCTATTTTATACTGTAAGCAGAAGTAAATGACATGATTTTAAATGGGGATTTATCCATTCACACACAAAAAAAATCTCAGAATTTATGCTAGAAATGTATATAGTTTCCTAAAAGTTTTGCAGTTACACCAGTAATGCATTGCTATTATCACATGCATAGAGTTTTGAAATTCTCTGTTAAACATCACTCAAGAAATTGGTAGAAGAGCTAAAAAACAATTTTTTAAAAATGTTAACATGAGTTACCTGCAGATTAAGTCACAGAAATCTTGAACCCTAAGTGATGTTACCCAGTTTGATCCCTTATTCTGTTCATCAGATTTGCCAGAAAATGACTTTTTGTTGCCTTGAAAAACATTCTTGCTAATATTTGCTGATATAAAGACTGTTAACCAGAGAACGCTGTAAACCTGAGGTGTGTCCTTTCGTAGAGTCTCAGCACTCATTTTGTTGTAGAGATGTTGCCTTGTTTGTTTTCTGAATCATATTAATGTGTGGATATACTATTTTTATTTAAAATTTCAAGTGTGTGAAATATTTACATTTTCATTTTTAAAATTAGTGGACTCCTTATTTAAGCACTAGTAAGATGGCGACTTGTCTAGCCATTTTAGAAATGAAGTCTTTCAAAACAAAAACTCTAATACAAACTTCTCTCCAGGACAAGACACAGGCAAATGAGAAGCAGCCTGGTCAGTGGACGTCGTAGACTGGTTTGAAGCCATCTCTGAACGAACGTGGGGCACAGATTTTTCTTTGTACAAGATTGACTTTCGTTCGTATTATCATTTTTTCTTTCAGAGCATCGGCGAGTCGGCAATGCCTGTTGTGTTAAATCAGCTGTTGCCCATGATCAAGCCTTCAAGTCAGCGGACCAGCGACGACTACGGCCCTGAGGAGCTGCTGATCCTCCTCATCTACGTCTATTCTGTCACTGGACAGTTCACAGTGGACAAAGATCTGGG